ATTGTTCATGGCTGTGGGCTAAATCCTGCTGCTCTTCCTCTCTCAGAACTCCCACTGACTTTATGGGAGTTTGGAATAACTTGCAAGATATGGCCCCACTTGAGGGCAACTGAATTGTTTGTTTTATTGAAGTTTTCATAGTGCTTTTCTCACACTCTGGTCTTGTTGTTATAAAAAATGAAGTAGGTATTAAGAACAAAGCTGAAAACCTTTCATTCCAGCAAAAGTTCCCTTTATAGTAGGACTTCTGCGGCACAACACAGCTTCCTTCATAGCCTCAAAACTGAATTCACCCTATATCAGATTCTCCCCTCACTACCACTTCCCTCACAGAGAAAGCTTGGGGTAACAGGTACATTTCTGGCAAGTTCTCAAGAATATGGGCTGTCTCACAGCCCCTCAAGGACTCAAGGTCTAAGTCAGGGATGGGCAAAATGTGGCCTGCGGGCCAGATCTTGACCCACCAGGTGACTGGACTGGCCAGCAGCTGTCCCTGCAGTGCTCTGCATGGGGCCAGCCCACCCACTTGCATCAGGGCAGCCAGCACTGGGCTCCCACTGGTGCCCACAGCCTGGCCCCGACCAGCATGCACAGCTTCTTGCAGGCTGTTACCAGTGTGGCTGCAGCTGGATGCTGCTTTTTGCCTCCCACCTCCAGCACTGGTTCCAGCTCCTGAACTTGCCCATGTTGCACCGCACTGCTCCGGATGAGTAGCTTCAGCCAGGCAACTCCTGCCCCATCACATGGGGCTTCGGCTTCAGCTCCTGGCCGCCTTCCCAGGAGCTGGAGCCAGAGCCCTGCGCACTGGGGCAGGAGCCACCCAGCTGAAGCTGCCTGCCTGCCTGACACGGCGTAGTGCAGCAGGGGCAACATCAGGAACAGGAGCTGCCCCTGGAAGCAGGGGGAGCATAGCAGCACCTGGCCAGGTGGTGGGCACCAGTGGGAGTGTGATGTGGGCTGCCCCTGCAGGAGAAGGTGGGGCTCAGCCCCATGCGGAGTGCTGTGGGAACAGCATGAACCACACTGCCCAGGGGAGCTCTCCTCCATATGTTCCCTGTCCCCACCATTTACCCATGGCAGGCTCCTGGGACCTAGTGCTTGAGCAGCTCCCCCTCCTCACTCACACACACGTGCACACACTGCCCCCCC